GTTTGGTGTAAATGGGATGAATTCATCGTTGTTGATACGGCGGCACTCAATTTCTCTTTATATTAAATCCATTGATGGACAAGAGATATCTTGCTAAAAATTTTTCCATGGTTAACAGAGGAGTTTATTACGTCGACATCAAAATTCGTACATCATCCTGATTTTAGATTCCGATTGTCTGATTGAAGTCTTACACATCAAAATTGATATCGGTTGTCTATAATCGCTTTGTCATAATTCGCTTTGGTTGATTTGATTGCACATTTTTTGTCTTACCAAAAAATGCAATTCATAATTTTTGCTAAACAGGGGTGTGCGATAGACTTACCTCCACGCGGTGCACCCTGGGCAACGTATACTCATATGGCATAAAATTCTATTATTCGGAAGTTGACTTCCTACTTCAAAATACCATCACCTCACTGCATGTCATATTCGGCCCCTTCTACAATACTTACCTTACCTCTTCTATGTCTTTGTGCCTGTTTGGCTCTTTTACCTCTGTGAATCACTCTTTTGCTCCCCCTCTCCACTTTTTGCCACTTTGATGTTCATCTTCCTCTCTGTGAAGCCTGAAGTCAGCTAAAGGGCTAATGATAACTATCAAAACGCCTGCCATTTGAAATAATTATATAAATATATATATGTAATATATATTACATATATTTTTTAGCATAAAAGCATCATATTTTGGAGATTTGATGAAGTAATTAAACTACTGGTGTAAGGCTTTAGCAGGCTACGACTGATGTTGAAATAAATCCATTCCTTTTAATCTCAGTAATGTTGGCCTTGGGATGCACTCAGTGATATGAAACAATTAAGGATATGAGACTGGCTGAAGTACAGCATTCACAATGCTAATTACACCGGCTGAATTTGAACCAATAGCATTTTCAAAAAAAATCTCCTGATACTTTTTATAAAAGATAACGTGCTTTACCACTTCGCTTCCATGTTAAGTTGTATTTTGGCTTCATGTAATTGGAACCATTCTGGTTAACAAATGGCTAAAATAGGCTTTCTGAAATGTTTTTTTTTCTCTTATAAAGGGTAATTTCTATTTGCTTTTTCGGGGTTTCGGTTAGTATCAAGCGAAATTGGCTACCTGGCCTTTTTGAAAGTACATATCCATTTTGGCCTGGATTCATCTAAACCTTCCGGTGCTCTGTATCAATATGTCCAATAATACTAACGCACTGCTTCATTCACTACGAGTTAATTCATTCTCAGCGAACTGTTCTTAAAACATTGAGCCTTCACTGAGGGTTATTTATTTATCTATTTATTGCAAATGGCAGGCGTTTTGGGAGCTATCATTAGCCCTTTAGTTGACTTCAGGCTTCACACAAGGGAAGATCATCAAAGTGAGAAAAGTCGAGAGGGAGGATAGAAGAATGAATTACAGATGTAAAAGAGACCGATAGACACAAAGGCAGAGAAAAGGTAAGATGAGAATATTTTTTGAAGTCTTCGATAAGCTAATAACCAAGCTGATTACAGATGTAAAAGCGACAGACAGACACAAAGGTAGAAAAAAGAGAGGTGAGTACTATGGTAGTGGTCGAATATGGCATACAGTAGGGTCATGGTAGCTTGAAGTCAGAAATCAACTGACGATTTATAGACTTTTTTGAGTATACGTTGCCCAGGGTGCACCACGTGGAGGTAAGTCAATCGCGCACCCAATCTTCACTGAGGTAAAGCATTATCAAAACTACTGCAGTCTTCCATCCTGAAATGCTATTCTTTTCTTTTAAGTAGCGATATTATTCTTTACAGTTGTTTGAATTTGGAATTAATTGATGATAAGGGACTTCAATCGAAACGAGTGAAGAGGTATTTCCAAATTTTTTGATGCATTTGAAGAATTGACAAAGGCAGCTTGGAAAGTTACGAGACTGCTGAGCTGTCAGATGCCGTGACAACAAGTAAGCACGAGGAGAGGGCATGCAATAGCATACAAAATAGCGATTTTCTCTCCAGGAGAGTAATCTGATGCACTTGTATTATCACAGTAATTAACTTTTACAACTTCCTAAGTCAATTCCACGAACAGGAAAAATGGGCACTGCTACGTGTGCACCGTGGCATGGCTTCTGTCAAGTCAAATGAGAAATTTGTAATATTTCGAAATAATTAAATCAATAACCCCTTGTATATTAAACCTCGTCGATTACTGTCTCAACCTTATAATTGGCACTGCACTTGTCAAAACTATTTAGGAAAACTTTTTCTCACCCTCCTAATGGTAGGAGAGTTACCTTGGTGAGAGACCAGACTTCACCCACCTTCATATTAACCCAGTGAACCTGACAATTCAGTGGACTTGCGCCAGTGGGAATCGAACCAGTCAGATGACACACACATTGCTATCATTCAAGTGCTCTTTATGACTCTTTGACCGGATATGTATTGAATGCAAATCTACTTCGTGATAATGGGAATTACGTTAACCTATTGTTATTCAGACTTCTTCAAATAGCCGTGCCGAGTTATCGTCTATATAAAATCTTTTTCAATAGGTTTATGTCCGTTCATTCATATTTCCCAGAATTCTGCATCATTTGCGTGTTCAATTCCTCGTAGTTCTACCCGAAATAACAGTGATTGTAAGTTTTGTAATCTTGCCGGCTTTCTGGTCCAATATAAATCACCATGTGAATATTTCACATCGAATAGATATTCGTTTAGGAGATCAACAAGATTCTCACGGTGGATAAATTTTATGGCCTCACCCCTGAATTGGAGCTCCGATTTATAAACTTACTCATGTAGACAAAAGTTGTCCCACTAAATGGGTTTAAACGATAAATAGAGGGGGGGGGGGTTAGGCTACCCTAGTTTTTCAGAAATAGTTTATTTTAACTCTCTTAATCCCCCGTCGAAGGCCACGCATGAATTCGATGAACACCATTTGTCAAACGAGGGATTATGGGTTAAGTCTCTCATGTAGCACAACAAACAAGTTATCTGCACAAGAAATTCGCATAAGTCGGGTCACCCGTTCCTAGGTCCTCATTATTGACAGTAAGGCACCAACTCACGCCCCCTCTACGCTATAACCGTGATGGACCACGGCATGGCGAAGTGGACTGCTATGCATCCATTTGGCTCTCGATGGCTCATGATAGAACATTGGTGACCAATGACTGATTTAATCTTCTCCACATGGGGTGTGCGATAGACTTACCTCCACGTGGTGCACCCTGGGCAACGTATATTCATACGGCAAATAAGTCTATTAACCGGCAGTTGATTTCTGACTTCAAACTACCATTACCCCATTGTATGTCATATTCGACCACTTCCACAGTACTCACCTCACCTTTCATCTACCTTTGTGTCTGTATCTTTTACATCTTCAAAACACTCTTCTGTTTACTCTCCTCCCTCTCGACTTTTTCGATTTGATGTTCCTCTACCTCTTAATGATAACTATCCAAACGTGAAGCCTGAAGTCAACTAAAGGGCTGATGATAACTATCATAAGGCCTGTCATTTGATATAAATAAATAGTTTTTCACCGCATAATGCAATTCTCGACAAGCACAGTCTTATGCGTAAAATCTCTATGAATCCAGTGAATGAAGGTCTAGGTAAATCAGTCTCCACCCCTCACTCAGTGGCAAATTTCATAACGCAGACCTTGAGCACACTTTGCAACAATACCCATTAAAGAATAAAATGAAACAAGTCAGAGCAAAATCTCGCGCACCAAATATTAGTCACAATATATCACCATATTCATATAACAAAGGGATGAAGAAAGAAAAAGAAAAGATCAAGTAGGCATTCACACCAGAGGACGAAATAAACAGGACAATAAAGTGTTAGACAAGAGAAATATATTCAACATTATCACAGATGGTAAAATGGAATGAAATGAGATTTGAGATGAACAATTCACTGTGTGACCTTAGTTGGTTAAAGGCAATGACCCCTAGGCGTCCAAAACATGACCTTTAGTTTTGCTCTGTTGATCCGGATTTTCGAGGGGATTGAGGTCTGCAAAGAATTTCATCCAGGCTTCCACATCAGACTAAAATTAGAATAAAAAAATCGATAGAATTCCCATTTATGAGTACTGAATTAACTGTCAATCAAAAAGGTTTTACTTAAAAATAAGCTTGATTAATGCAAATTAAGCTGAATAGACTGCACAATAGCACGTGGCTGTCTTTGATTTAAGTAGTTGATTAAGTAGAACATTTATACTTGAAGTAAATTCGACTATTATGGGGAAGAACCCATTTAAAAGATTCTGGGCTACTTGTATGTATTACGAGTTTTAGATTGCAAGGAAGTATTTCGGTAAATTCTTACGGGATCAGGTTTGTTGACATTCTTTGTAGCTTTGAATGGAACTTGATTTTGGGATTTCTGTTGGGATGGCTTCTGAGTGGAGGAAGAACCTTCGGGCTGTAGCTAAAATGCAGATAATCAATGTCTTGCAATTGAGAGGGCAGTTATGCAAGGATATTTCTATCATTAAATCAATTTATGCAATTGGGATATGAAAAATTATAAATGATATCGTGCTGTCAAATAGTGGAAAAAATGCGTTCATGTGAGTAACAAGTAAATGCATTCGGCAAATTCGCCCGTAAAACAAGTTCAATCATCTGATTTAAACAACTTCATTATTTTTTTATAGGATCTCGGTTTTGACATTTTAATCACCCTGTTATATTCAATGAAACTGTCCATCTGATTTGTAGTGAACTTCTTTTTTTTCATTTTTTAATGTAATTCTCCTCACACTCTTACCTGAACACTAGGAAGAGGATTTACAAATCAAATGGTTTCAGATTGGCCACCTGGTCAATGGGTGATGCAAATTGCGATGAGATTTCATCATCAGGCTAGTCGAATAATCCGATGCCACTAGGGACAAGTTCCGCTCAGAGCATTGAAGACCATTTATTCTGCAATCCATCATTGGGAAATACGCACTTTCAACTTATCCACATCGTGGATTTTTCACTACATGACGGCAAAAAATTTACTATACAGCCTTTGATTCGAAATTAAATAATAGCGATATATGGATCTCAATTTGGCTATTTAAGTTATCTTGACCACCACAAATTAGCGCCTTACCTGGTAAATTAATTCAAAGGTGTATTAATTGGGGTTCTCAAAGAAACGTCATTGATACTATCTCAGAAACAATCGATTTAAAAGACTGCCGCGTGTTATGAACAATCCACACTGCCACATGCGTGCGTAATTTAAGAATGTTTAGAGTGAGGATGTGGGAAGTAAAGTTAAACAGAGATTTCAATGCAATGTATTTACCACACTACTTGACGGCCGCGGTTGCAGTGGATTTGTCGCAATCGCTGCGGAATTTGGCGATGAAAAGACATCTGAAAGTTGGTTGTCCCAATTTAATTTGAAGAAGGATTCTGAAAGGGGAAAGTAAAGTGCACCGCTTAATTTTTCTATTGAACTAAAAAAATGAGTTAGAAACCTTGCCTAATTAAATATTTCAATTATATAAGCTCAATACACATATTCTAAGTCTACTCTTGAAAAACAAATGTGAAGGTTTCCAAATAGCTTCAAAATTGTAGTGCTTTGTGTAGTGAAGCACAGACGTAAGCACAATATCATCAAGTAAGCCACACAATCACGTCTCTTTCAGTGTCAGCATTTTAATAGCAGGCTCCAATAAAAATTATGTAATGCCAAGTTCACATTTACAGGGAAGCACGCTAAAACACAACTTAGAGATGAGTTAGCAAGGTGAATTCTTCTTTTCAACACGCTACCGCATTTAATAAAGTTTGTCACGGAATCCATTTCTTTATAGTGTGGTAGTGATCGTAACTCCTTAAGAATCTTGCTCAATAACTTGGAGAATGTGAAGAATCAAGGACGCAGATCAAGAGAAACCTTTCGGAGCCATTTTTAACTTTTGTCATTATTCATTTTTACTACTAAAAATTTGGTAAAGTAGTAACAACTCACATTTCCATTACTTTGGATTACGTGGTTACACTGATCGGAATGAGTAAATAAGCTGAATAATCGTCTTTAAAATATTCAAACCGTTATAACCAAAGCTACTAGTTACACTAGCACTTATAGTTGACATGGGTGTGTGCGATAGACTCACCTCCACGTGGTGCACCCTGGGCAACGCATACTCATACAGCAAAAAATGTGTATAGACCGGCAGTTGACCTAGGACTTCAAGCTATCATGACTCCACTGTATGTCATATTCGACCACTTCCACAATACTCACCTCACCTTTCATCTACCTTCGTGTCTGTATCTTTTACATCTTCAAAACACTCTTCTGTTTACCCTCCCCCCCTCTCGACTTTTTTCGATTTGATATTCCTCTCCCTCCGTGAAGCCTGAAGTCAACTAAAGGGCTAATGATAACTATCATAAAGCCTGCCATTTGATATGAATAAATAGTTGACATGCATAAGTCTAATGGAGTTGATCTGACCACGTAGCGAATTAGTCTAATAACCCTTAAATAGAAGGACGTTTAATTTGATTGCAAGAATAATAGAGAATTTAAAAGCTCACCAAGACATGTCGTATAGTTCTTAATTAGGCTGGTCTAGGCTGCAGCAGTAATGATTAGTCTCAATATCAGCCTAATTTAAATAGCCCGGCTGCCATTTCATTCAATAACTGTGAGTCTATGAGCATTGAATCCATGATATCTGACATAGTAGAGTACACGCCGACCACTACAACGATGCCGTACACTAGACACACGAACATGCATTATCGTGTTTCTAATTATTACAATGAACGAAATCAGATTTTTTTCAAATTGTCACCATAAATAAATAATATTAAAAATTAAAAGATCTCAGAAAGTCCTCACCACCCATGCCGCCACCAGGAGTTCTAGAAGAAGGTGGTTCATCGAAGAGATTTGGAGTTGGTTGTTCCAGCGACAAGATATCCGTCAAAAAGTCCGCATCAGTGTTACCTGAAGGCGAGAGGAAACAGAAGTGCTATTAGTATTATAAATTGACCATTAAACAATGAAGGAGAATGAGTTCTGGAATGTTAAAGACAAATTAGCGTTCACTATGATGACAATTAGAGGATAAACGTCTTAGCGAGAACAAAGTATACATAGTTTTCGACGTCTAATTATCAGAAGGAATTGAGATGAAGAATGGTGCTGAATCTACCGAGTCTGAGCACACACAAGGTCCCCCCCCCTATTAGACACTACAGGCTCTTCTCCATCATTTTTCCTAAAGACATTCTGTCCGTAGACACTATCGTTTGTCAAAACACCATCCAGTTAGTGAATATTAAACACAGTTTACACCGTTAAATCATGACAATGCTCTTTTATACGTAGCCTTAAAAGGTCATTTTCCTGCGTGCACCTGCTACAAGGTTAGAATGGCAAATCCAAGAAGAGATCTCAGCTTCAAAGGCAATAAAAATACAAAATGGCCTCAGAGGAGTCAATTCCTCTAGCACACTGAATGAGTAGGTGAAAAGCTATTGTTGATATCGTAAAAAGCCCAGGCTACCATTAGAATCAGACTTTCCCGTAATTTTCATTTGAAATACTCAGCCCAATACTCTTTGTCATTTTCAGCTTAATGACTTGTTTCATAGTAATAGCACATGACTTGGTATGACCTTTCTCTAATGAGTGACCAAAATAACTGCATTGGTGTGATAAAAAATGGCATATATAAAATGAAGAGTGAAATGGGGAATATTATAACGCAAGGAGGAGAGGTGCGGTTAAAATTCAAAACAAAATGAAGAATTAAGCATTTTCCAAACCCGAAAATTACCTAGTGTAGTAGGCTGGCGTGTGGCTAGCAAATTTAAATCACAATAGGTTAATTAATGGAAAGTAAATCGACGACATTGAAGCACAGCAAATATCATCGGCAAATTACAATAAATCACTCTAAAAATGATCCACTAAGAGCCATATCAAAAGTGGATTATTACACAAGCCAGAAGAATTTTCATTGGATATTCCAATGGTGAGTAAAAAGAGGCAAAAGAAATAAAACACGGCAAGTCTTCGAATTACAAGTTTTTACGATCTGCAGCTGAATCCTCCTCGAATTTGGTGAGTGCATGAGACTCCAATTCAACGATCATGGTTCAAGATTCGTCCATTCATTTTTCTAAATGACTACTCTTTGGCTATCATAATTCAGCTTAAGGTGGGTTTCCCGCTCCTTTAAAATAGCTGCACATTTGTTACATAACGAATTTTTACACAATTTGAATAGACAAAAAATGCATAGCAGATCAACCCAACACACTAAAAATTACCTGGACACGAGGAAAATGTATTCCATTCTATCAGACAACCCAAGGTCTTATTAAACAACATTTTGATCGGCATGATCAAGTTTTAGGGCTAGGAAACCCACCTCCAGCCACTTCCAAATGCTGGAAAATATCCATCTTCGAATCTTGACCAGATGAAGAGGCGGTTGAAAAGAACATATCGTCCAAAGCCTTTCCAGCTTTGTCAATATCCGTAGTGGCAAAGAGATCATCCAATTTTTTATCGTATTCTTCCTCTGGTAGAAGATCTTCTGGAGGTTTGACTGGACTGAAATAGACAAATCAGGAGACATAAGAACCAATTAGTGTATTGTTGCACCATTAACTCAACCAAGCAATAAGAACAAAACTAAAAGAAATTGATTTGTTAGAATGGCAGCATTGTGCACTGATGAAGGTGGAAGAAGTAAATCAGAGATAAAGGAAATCTAGTGGACAACAAAGAATATAAAATTTCCGAAAGAAATGATATAATGTGAAAAATCAGTTTTAGAGGAAGTTGTGAAATACGCTTTAACCAGTTGTGAGCAGTGATTAGGGGGTAGAAATAATGAGTTAAATGCCTGTTGAAAGTTACCAAATATTTAGGGCGTTAAGAGGAGTCTAAAACTAGTGAGAGTTCATGTTTAAGTACCTTTCCGAATTGGCACTTTTCTCACTTTGTGTAACTTCCTTCCCTGTTTCGATTAGTGACTCTTCAGCAATACTAGTTTCGTCATCTAATTGTCTGAAGAAAGGTGCAGTAAGATCAACCAATAAAAAGCTAAGAGAGACAGATTCAAAGAGGACGAATAACTTACTCTTCCTCTGTGTCGAAGACTTGAGAGGTCTGTTCAGCGAGCTTTCGGCTTTCTGGTGTGAGATCTTTGAGAAGAGCGAATTCATAGTACTGATAACCCTTGAAACTGTTTGCTACGGTTGTCATTGTGCTGAAAGGAAGGAAGTAACATATGGGATAGTCCCTCTATCATTCAGAAATATGGTTTTGCTACTGAAAGACAAGAGCAATGTTGAATAATAATAATAATAAGGCGGTTTCTTTCAGAGATTGTCACCTTTACCTGTTGACCAAACACTGACAAATATTATATAACTAATAGTCACAGACACTAACTAAGAAGAAGGAATGTATAAGGAAAAAATAGCTCAAAAAGGAGGAAATAAAATCGACCGTGAGCAGAACAAAATGAAGGAATGGGTTAAATCAATAAACACTAGTGTATATGATTCACATTCGTTTATTAAAAGAAAGACCATTTTCCACATAGTGAGCGAGAAATGCCAACATATTTAAAAGCATCTTATTAAAAAGCAATCCGAATCGCAAAAGGTTTAAGATAGCTTCAAATTACCATGAAATAGTAAGGACACAGGTAACTAAAAACTTCACTCAAATATTCACCTATTAATTTGTAAGGTTAAAAGTCAAATTAAACATTATGAATATCCAGAGGTGACATTGAATTTCAAACCAAACTAGACCCCCAACAGGTTGTAAAATACATTTTAAATGAAGCTCAAAATCGTATGAAATTATCAAAGTGGTTAACACAAAATAATCCAGGCACAGCCAAGATACTTAGAGGAAGATTATTTAACGCTTCCACGAGGAAGGGTCACAATAACTGATTTCCTTCTGTCCAGTAAATGAACTTTTATAATAGCAATTTTGTCGACAGCTCCCCATACTTGCACAGTAGTCCATCGGATTAAGATCAGGAGAGAGGGGGATTCGGAGGACAGGCATTGCGACTAGTAAAGCAGTAAAAATTAGACGGCAATCATTTCGACTTTCCTCTAAGGTGTGGCAGGAGGATGATTACTGTTCCCATATAAACAGCCAATTCATAAATAATAAATTTCAAGAAAAGAGATAAGGCGAAAACAAGTTCAATATTCAAAGAGTAAAGCCAATTGAAGTTAATCTGAAATTCAACGAATCCTTTTAAGTCATGCGAACTTCAAGAATGACATTTTTATCTAACGACAAGGATGGTAACAATTGTGCAGCACGTTGCAACTGATACAAAAGTTTACATATATTTCAATCATCTTCTACTCAGATCAAATTCAGAACCAGGGAGACTCAAACAAACATGAGATTTTCAAAAATTTTCGCACATAAGCTGTATCAATTCCAAAAATTCTATCTCATGATTTCAATAAATAAAGACATCTACTCATATCAAACGTTTAAGCCAATAAAATATGATTTTAGAAAAAGTAAATTGGCAAAATTACTAACCAAGCCGTACGCTCCCAGAATTGCAGAAGCGTATCCTGATAAGCCGCCAAAACGTGGCTGAGCATGTTACATCGACTAGCAGCTAACAAATCCACCTTCTGCATAACAGCCAATTTAAGCCGATCAAAGTTGGCCTTGTTCTTCTTAACTTGAGTTTGAACACGTCGAAATTTATCCAGTTTTTTATACATATCAGGGTCCAACTCCTCACTGACATTTTTCATCCACATTAGAGCTCCACGATACTCAGTTCGAGCAGTTTCCATGCGCTTTATTGTACTCTCGGTGTCACCAATGGCTCGGGCGCGGAATGTTTGGACTTCCTGTTCTAAACGACTCAAGGGGTTCTGAAGAACAAGCCGCTGTTGGGCAGAATGCGACAAAGCTTTTCCAACCGCTGACAACATTTTTCCAGCTCGCGTTTTGTCCTCCGAGCTTCGAGCATTGAGGAACCGACCTGTGTCGTTTTCCACTTGCGAAAGAACTACCCACAAATTGTTAGTACTTAGCAAGTCTTACCAAAAATGCAGCGCAGATAAGCATCAATGCAAGTACTCAATTCCTGACACGTTGTCTGAACCGATTTAAAAAGCTAAGCGACATTTATATTTTCATGATTATAATAGCCTACTTCAAGCTTTGCATCTAACTCTGCATCTGATGCAACAATGTGTCGATCTTCTTCTTTGCCAAGTTTACGAATGACTGCTTGTCTGGTAGACCAGTAAGCACTTTTTAATTTGTGCGATGTTGAATCATCAATATAATCCCGATAGCGATTTCCAGATGATTCATAATACATTTCTGCGTCGGCCACAGATAATTTGCACAACGCGCGAAGAAATGGGCTATTCAAACGAAACAGAGTTTGAGGACATACCGTAGATAGTTAATAATGCGAAGCCTTAATTTGCAGATGTTATAGAACCGATTAAAAATACGAAATAAGTAAAAAATAGACATTCAACATTATATCGCAGTTTTATGATAGAGAATTCGATTTTTATTGGCAAATTCTTAGTTTTTAATAACATTTGCGACTCTTTTGCAAGTAGTTAAATAAGAAATAAATTTCTCATTAACCATTTCAATCAAAGGTGAAAGTAAAACAAAGCTGTGAGTAATCAGCATTTAAAAGCCAGAAGAATCAGAATGCAAATAATATAATTTCAAAACTCTCTCGAAGAAGTGATTTATAAAACATATTTTCTGAGCTATCGGGGCTATTATTGTCCGAATGTTACTGCGAAGTCTGCGAGATAACTCTGTTGAAAAAAATGCACACTGTGTTTAAACCTTAATTCATTGTATATATGTGTAAGGTGTCATTTACTGTAGAAATTAGCGGTTTTTAACACAATGTTAACGAATTGACACAAGCGAATAGCAAACAATGTGTAACCAAAAATATGCCACCTTGGGGCAAAATATGCCTAAGTACGCTGGAATTTATAAGAGATTCATATGTAATTCCTTAGGAATATCAAGAACTGATCTCAAAGTTAGAGATAAAAATTTTGCTATGACAAAAATGTTTATAAACTGCCTTAGATCATTTTTGGATTTAGCCGTCAAATAACTCCATCATTGTTCTGTCATAAGGGGTCAATGTTTGATTGAAGTTCACATTGGATAAAGCGTCTGAAGCACCCTATTTATATTTTACGCAAGGCCTTAATCAGAAGAGAATTCCAGACCTCAAGGTGCAACGAACTTAAAGCTCAAACAAAGGAGAAACAGTGGATGGTGGCACTCTCTGACATACCCGACTGGCCAAGAATTGAAGCCGTTGCTGAGTTTAGACTACGTACCGGACACGATTCCTTGGCAAAACACCTTCACAGATTGAGAGCATACACTCAACCCACATGCAACCCTATGTAACCTACAGGAGAAAATGGAGAAGATCCACCTGATTCGGTGTCCAGCCCTAAGGGGAACGACGGAAAGCCAGAGATACTGGGAAGCAAGAAGACAGCTAATGAATTGCTATTAATTAACTGCTATAAATGTACCCCCCCCCCCCCTCCACCCTTGGGGGAAGCTGAAGTTTTTTTTTTTTTTTNTCCCCCCCCCCCCCCTCCACCCTTGGGGGAAGCTGAAGTTTATTTATTTATTTCAAATGGCAGGCATTTTGATAATTATCATTATCCCTTTAGTTGACTTCGGGCTTCACAGAAGGGAGGAACATTAAAGTGAGAAGAATTCGACAGGGGAAAAGAAGAGCGATTCACAGATGTAAAAGACAGACAGACACAAAGGCAGAGAAAAGGCTAGATGAGTACTGTGGAAGGGGTCGAACATGACATACAGTGGGGTCATGGTAGTTTGAAGTCAGAGGTCAACTGCCAGTTAATAGACTTTTTTGCCGTATGAGTATACATTGCCCAGGGTGCACCACGTGGAGGTAAGTCTATCACACACCCCGGGGAAGCTGAAGTCAAATCTAAAGAGCTAATTGTAAATATCACAAAGCCTGCCATTTGAAATAAATAAATATATATACTTTACGCTATTTTGTCTACGGTAAGAGTTAATTCAGCATAGGATTATTCACCGGGACATTGTGAATTTTAATATGATTTAAACTATTTGATGACCCCCCCCCCCCAAGACTAACAGTACTTTCATGAAGTAAACAATGAGAAGGAACGTAATCGAACCATTTGAATTAAATCAGATGTAGATCAATAACATTTTAAATAGCTTATCGTGACTATGGACTTTGACTACTATGATTGTAGACTGATGAGGGCACTTCCTTTATTGGGCCCTCAATAAAAGTTTAAATAATCATGGAGGGACAATCCGGTGTTCAATAATAAGGTCTAAATTTATGGATATATAACCATAAAGAAAGTGAGAAATTTTGGAAGAGATTTTTTAGACTAATTTTATAAAAAATTCTATACTCAGATATTTTGAAAAATAACTAAAGGTGAGAGAAACGTTTATAAATATAAAATTTTTCGGCTTGTCCAGATCTTGACAACTATTTGTAAACTAGTACTACATAAAATTGGGGTGCGCAATAGACTTACCTTCACGTGGAACACCCTAGGCAACGTATACTTATACGGCAGAAATATCTATTAACTGGCAGTTAACTTCTGACTTCAGACTACTATGGCTCGAGCTTTTGTCATATTCGATCACTGTCATAGTACTCATCTTACCTTTTTTATGCCTTTGTGTCTGTCTCTTTCTTTTACATCTGTGAATCACTCTTCTGTTCCCCCTCTCGACATTTTGTCACTTTGATGATCCTTCTTCTCTCTGTGAAGCCCCTAAATCAAGTCCAGGAATAATGATAACTATCTAAACGCCTGCCATTTGATATAAATAAAAATATATATGAACTTTTTTGGAACTCATTGCTTTAAATTCTAAAAATATGTTCAACGTGCCTAAAGTGGGTTATAGTGGATCCAGTTGCCGCCAATTTATTTTCTTTGCGACAAAAATGATAACGACAAGAAATGATAGATGTGTTCTATCTTTTGAATGAGACCGTGCTTCTGATCTTACCTGATGTATGGTTGCCCTGTTTACTTGATGCTGTTTCTGAAAAGTTTTCATACTTTCTCATAATTTTATGCGTTTAAATGTTTCCTCAATTGTAAAAGCTTTATAAACTGTGTCTATATTAAAGCGAAAGTGTAGTATGTAGCAATATTCAAAAACAATCAGAAGATCTAAATTTTTAAAAGATATGCATATATATATTACACAATATTTTCACAAGACAAAGTTAAGGTCAAGCTCCAAAGGTATAAATTAGAGAAAAAATTTGAGAAGTTTATAATGAAGCATTTTATGGCAGACTCAGTTCATATAAGAATAAATATATGAATTATGCAATTTCATAACGGCGTGAATTATAAATTTTGGGTAAAAATTTATACTGTCATTTTACCATTTTGCCTGTTTTTTTACAATTTGTTTCCATTGATTAGGATCGTACAATTCGTTGTAGGCGGGTTTTATATCCTCGCTATTATTATGGTAAAGTTTGAAAGTTCTCTTCTCGGTCCTTATGCTGTTATACTAAATTCTATTTTATTTTAGCCGAAAACGCCAACAAAAAGAATTGATTCACGATTACACAGTGGTCTTCGTTTTGGTGGCTCATTTAGGGTAAATTTTTCTTGAATTTATATACTTATTTTAACAATTTATCTTGTAGGCAAATGTAACTAAGCCAAAGCCATTCAGCTTCGAGGAAAAGGACAAAGCTATTCGCGAGTCTCGCAGGCAGATGATGGAAGAAGAAATTCATCGTTCACGTAGACTTGCAAGTGCTTTCAGAGCGCGTCCTATGCCTGATCCAAATTACGTCAGTATCCCAGATATGCCACCGATTCTTCCTCCAACTTTTCCTAAAACACCGATTCTTGAGACACGCCGTCGTGCATCAAGACGAGCCAGCTTTGAAAAGCATCTCAATGAACGTAGAGCTTCCGCTGAACGACATATGAAGGAAATCGCAGAAGAGAAGGCCAAAGAGGAGGTACGTAGAATTGCTTCAGAACGAAGAGCCCGGGAGTTTAAGGCAGCTCCAATACGGAGAATTAAGTTACGTTTACCTGACATTGAGAAGAAACCAGTCACCCGAAGTAGATCAGTGAGTTTTCGCACGGATGCAAGGCTTGAAGCACGACATACTAAATTGATGGCGAAACGTAAGGTGTGATTGAAGGCTATCAGCTTTCGCTTTATTGTATATATTTTCATCTCGCCTATTTTTGACGGTATGGGCCGTATTATTAAACGATTTTATGTACTTGTCACTATGTTTCAGCCTTTGTTCTGGTACCAACCATTTTATTGCTCTATGTTCATTAGTTTATTGAACGTGCTGCTTGTATTATGTTAGCTATGTATTAGTTAGAGGATGTAGTAGACGTATCCCTGCCTGTTATGACTTATGTCGAAATAATTACCGATTGACTTCTTAAAATACGACCTAATAAATTTGGAAGTTAGATTACACTTGGTTGGAATTCAATCCCCCTAACAGTAGAAGGCGCTAAACTATACAGTGTTGTGAATCAAATATATCAAACTGAGAGCTTAATTTCCTAAATTTTATGCCTTGTAAAGTGATATTTGAAGCTCAATGGCCGTGTGATTCGTTGATAATTTTGTCTGAGTATATTTAACGTTTGTGGTAACTATCTATTGTTACTTTCTTGTTTGATAAGCATAGGAGCGCGAGCTAGATTGATCTAAAAGTTGACCACTACCTTTGAGTTGTATTTTCGATTCTGGTGTTGGAAGCAGCCTTTCTACCGTAGTAATTGCCATCTGTTTAAATCCATTCACCAAGTAGATTTCAAATAAACGCTAAAGTGACTGGAAGTTATTTGGCAGATAATAAGAAATATCGTAATTTAACGATCGGCTTTTAGTGGTTACCTGTCATTTATATTAACATTGTTAAGGCAGGCTGAAATTTCGAAGAAATTAATAGGAGTACTTGGATCTTAGCTTATAAGAGAGAGAATGTCGGAATAATCCCATTACTGTTGTCTAATTTTTTGTTCAAAAATGATTATGGCTTCAACTGTCCCATAATGCTTTAAAAAATGATTAAAAAAATTATTTTATCTCAATTACGCAAAATAAGGGTTGAATGTATTTATGGACAGAACACTTCCGCAAGAATTTAATGTGGAGGGAAGGAGATTCTGAGGAAGGTCACCAAGTGGGAAAGTGAGTGCAGAATAACCATTTCTTTATCATCTCGATTTAAGTCTACAAAATCGTTTGCATATGCCCCAAACTTAAAATAGAAATGGTCAAGTTCTTAAAAGGGAAAGTTGGTTGCAAATTAGAATGCAATGAGGGTGCGTGTGTGTGCGTGAAGGAAGGAGTAGTGGGAAGGACTTATTACCTCATTGGACACGTAGCCGATGAATTGGTCTCAATTAGCGCTGCGTGAGCTATGATGGTGGGCATTGTCACTATTCCATTCCCACATTGCATTCATGAAGTAGAGTTGAGGAAGTGAAGCTGTCTAGGTGGTTGTTTGGTTGGTTGGTTGGTTGGTAGGTTGGTAGGTTAACTAGCTAATTCTGCCCAGAGCCCTCGTTCGCCGTCAGTCTCCTGGTCACCACCGCGGGTCTCTTGCCTGCTCCTGTTGGTAGGAGTGAATTGAGAAGGCGGCGTGAATGCAGGAGGCTG